TCTGTCAATTATTAATCTTTGTGTGCCTTCAAAATCTGAAAGATACTACATGCTTTGGTTTGAATTATTAAAAGCTTCATAAGCATTCATTTTTGTATCTAGTTGTCAAACCAGATCACCTCAATTTCATGAATGAGGCCTTTGCTGTCTAGTTATATTTGTCTATCAAGATCATTGGTAATGGTCAAATATGACAGCTCAAAGTCATATACTATGGGGTTTAAGTTTCTTACCAGCTTCACGGTTATTTATAATAGTCATTTTCATCTCAAGATTGATAGTCTTCTTTCAGTAGTTACCGCTTTATTCAGGTGAAATCATGCTCTTCCTTTTCGTCGGCACCTTGTACTAAGTGTGTACAATAAAGTACAAATTTATAAATTAAATATAGTCTTAGAGATTGAAAATGCTTCTTGTAGTGGATACTGACTGACTGGGAGTCAGACTAAGACTAAGAAAGGAGGAGAAAGATTGAGAAAAGGGTTTCCCCACACTGGAAAGCTTTGTCATTAAGTCCAAGTTGTCATTAAGTGAGGAGTGATGTATTAAATATTAAGTACAGGTATCCCTTGTATAACACGTAGTTATGTTAAAAAATAGTGTAGTTATGCAAATCGATGCTATACAAAACAAAGGACTAATGCAAAACTTAAGATTATACTCAAGAAGTTAGCAAAAGTATACTGTTCTTTTTCATTACTAAAGAGAAATATGTTTATTAAAACAGTTGATCCTTTATTTCCAATCAATAATTAATTAACAATTACAATTAGAAATACTATATTACTTAGTAGTAATTCAAACACAAATTATTATCGTATTTATTTTCAGGCACTTGGCAATTTTTTATCATCAAGTTTTTATTTAGTTGATGATAAAAAACTTGATGATAAAAAATTGCCAAGTGCCTGAAAATAAATACGATAATAATTTGTGTTTGAATTACTACTAATAACTACTAGCACGGTTTCAAAGTACCACAAACTATATTACTTGTTAATATTCATTTTAGTTAAACCAGGGCATTTTCTTTTTACAAAGTATCATCACCATATCAGCCCTTTTGTTGATCTTGATCAGAAGTAGCAGCAACAGTTTCATATTTTATATTTTTATCATAAAAAATTTTTTTATGAACAATAAAATAAAAATATGCTATTAATTAAAAACTTGTTCTAGTGGGTCACGTTTGTTAAGTTGAGTATCAAGCAACTTTTTTCCAGAATTTGTGTTCAAGTACCAAAATACTGCCATATTTTGTTCATCATTTTACAAATGATTGCTTACCTACAGTTTAAAAAAAGTTTAATAACACTGACTTAAAAATGTTTAAATAAACTTTACTAAATACAATAATTAATCAATGTAAAGAAAACACAGTAACAGGCTTAAGGGCTAAAGTATGAAAACAATGATGACAACACCCAGTTGATAGGAAAAATAGTACAATTTGTATCTTACTTCTCCTATTAGTTTTCATTAAAGTAAACCTGACAAAAAGCACAAAATAATTTTGAAAATTTCATTATTCTAAAATCCATAGGCAAATTGAAATGATGCATGCTTACCTGAATTTAAAAAAAAATATAAAATAAAATTTACAGTTAAAAATTGTGAAATTTTGAACGAAGAATTTCCAAAACCATGTTAGATTGAAACCAGAAGTCGGGTTGTACAGTGGATATCCCCAATTTTCAAACCATGTTGTAGAAGTACCGTGTTATACAAAAGAAACCTGTATTTTCATTAATGTAATGAAAGTTTAGAACTATAATTATTATGACATTGCAATCATGTCATGACTGTAAGCATTAAACATTGCTCAATATCAAAACTTTATTAAAAAAATTATCTTTGATAATGGATTTTATTAAGATATTGTCAACATCTTCAGTAAACTAATTTGAAAATAAGATTGCAGTAAGCAAGTAAGTAATGAAAATGACACAAGATTTCAAATAAATATAAAAAAAAGGATAGGAAAATTATATCTTTATTGACAAATGAAAATAATCTAGAATTATTTAATTTCATTTTATATTAGTTAAATGTGTGGTTCATATTAATTTAATGTCTTTCATTTTTTAGGTAAAGCATTCTACCTTTTGATTCACTAATTAGATATTTATTTTAATATTCTAAGTTCTAAATTCTAAAGTATATAATTGCATTAATATTGTATTCATTAATACAGTGTGTTTTTCAGTTAAATATTGTATTGATAAGATATTGTAATTCATTTCACTGATGCCTATTACATTATGTTAAATTCTTTGTTACTGTATGCATTGCAATTGTATCTAGTAAGCCAAATAAATAAATATATATATATATAAAATGTTACAGTCTTTAATTTCAGATTATATGGAACCAATAATCTATTATGTAAAATTAAAAGTTAGATGTGTATGTGTATGTGTATAGTAAAGATTATATATACTTGTATATATAAACATATTGATTTTGGGTTAAAATTAATTGTATATACAGGAAATACTTGTTAGTTCAAAATTCAAATGACAAAATAATTGCAATTCCAAATTATCTGAGATTTACATATTTTTTTTACATGCCAAATGTCACATAACTGATGTAATTTATTATGCAAATGGAATATGGCTACATATACAAAATGCTATTTCCATTAATTAATAATAATAATAATACAGTAATAACATAAATGTGAAGATAAATAGCATGTGTCCGGTAAGAATCTTGCAGGTTGCCAGATAGGTTTTATAAAATGTAAAGCAGAATTCCTCAAATTACTTTTAAAATGGCCCAAAAAGTACAGGGTGTCTTCACTCGAGTACAACTTTAAAAATGCAAATTACTCACAAACACATGAATGTAAAGGCAAGCTTTAAGAACTGAACATACCTGTATTTAGTGAAAAACAAGTCCACATTACAAAAAGGTGCTAAAAATGTCCTCCCCCAACGTCCGCGCACAAGGAAATGCGACACTCCATATTTGAGAATGTCCTCTGCAACATGTCACTTCAATGGCAGCAATTTTACACTCGATGTTTGCTTTCAGTTGTTCAATGGTCCTGGTTTTGTTTGCATACACCTTGCCCTTTAAATATCCACACAGAAAAAATCTGGGGGAGTTAAATTGGACAATCGAGGTTGCCACAAACCTTTCAAGATCATCCTGTCTCCAAAAAAAGATCTCTTCCATACTGGCATGAGAAGTATGGCACATTACCCCATCCTGTTGGAAGTAACCTTCTTGAAGTTTGTAGTTGTCCAGTTGTTTCACAAATTTGTCAAATATGGACAAGTAATGGTCGGTGTTCACACTCTCATCAAAGAAAATTGGACCAATGATCTGAGAACAAGAAATCACACACCACACTTTGATCTTCATTAAATAAGGAATATTTTGAACCTTGTTGCATGATGATACATGCACGCATTCACGAGTAATTTGCATTTTTAAAGTTGTACTCCTGAGTGGGACACCCTGTAGTAAGTTACTCAAATGTATTGATAGTAGCCTAGAGCCCTACAAATATCTCTATCTGCTACTCATAGCCCAATCTTGCAATCCCAAAAACCAGCCATATTTTATGAGATAAGAGAAAAAAAAGGTAGTCCATGGGTAAGGTAACACCTGAAAATGTGTTACTGTAAAAGCAAAGCCACATTGACCAGATTGTTTTTGGTCTATTGTTCTCTTACAGTGTGGAGGTACTTCATTCTAAATGAACAAGTCAATGTCAGAACCTGGGGTATCAGGAATAATATAAATATAACATTTAATACAAAAATTAATGTTAAAAGAATTACAAAATTTAATAGAAATGTTAATTTATCTTGTTACACTGTGAGAAAGCAGGAAAGACAAAATTTCATCAACTTTGACATCTTTTACATTTCCTTTGATTCAACGGATGTTGAAGTTCCTGCTAAATTGACAGCTGGTCCAAATAGGATCGCATCAGGAACAAACCCAATTGGCTGGTATATTTTCTATATAAGGGGACAGTATCCTTACATCAAGGCTGCTTTTAGACAGCCATGCCATAATTGTTCCTGCCACCCAAGACATAAAGGTCTCGACATTAGAAGTCATCTGTCACAAAGCTTCAGGTAATATGAACTCTTTGTAAACTCTCTAGTGATAGGGCAAAGTGTTAGCCCATTGTTCCCCTTGATATAATCAAGTTATATCTTAGTTTCAAATACCCATTTAAAATGTATATCCACTGTGTATATAGCTTCTATGCTTGAAATTAAATAAATAGTTTAGTTATAAAAGGGATTTGTCCGAGCTTCCATCAAGCAAAGCAACACAACCCCTTTGCTACCCAAACTAGCCTCAAACAAACAAAGAATTAGATCAGCCACTCAGATCTATTTAGATTAAAGAAATCGTGAGTTTAGGGTGTGAAATTTTGATTACCCTAGCTGGTGTCAGGACCTGACTGGAGACAAAGATTTTATAATCTACTAGTCTCCCCTTTAATAGTACAAATATAGCCATCATGGACAGTGGGCAAAGTTCTACCAACCCCAATCTCACGTATCTGTATCACAGTTTTGACAGAATTTTCACTTTGAATTACAAAGTAGCCATATTTCAAACTAATCAAATTCCTTTACATATAAATCTCTATATTCTTGGATAGGACAAAAGTACAGTTATGAACTAATAGAATTTTGAACTATCCAAGTTCGAATTAATGAGGATTTCCTGTAATATATTTAGGCCAGTCTTTAATTTTAATTATTTAATATTAACTCAATTTTAGCTCAAAAACAATCTAGTATATTAGATATATAACTGACTATCAAATTATATTTGGTTTATTGTATAAGTAATTCTGTCATCCATTATAATATTCAAAAATATAAAAAAAAACAGAATTTGGTATTTATTAATTAAAAGTTTTTCCCTAAATAACTTTCAAACAATCTTTAACAAATATGTTTATATTATTCTTGCATAATCAAATCTTTACTCTATAAAACAAAAATTTTTGGAAACATTTATACAAATCAACAATTTATTTGTCTTGTACATATAAAATGGAGATAAACAAATGAAATATGACACAACTGCTACAATTTATAATTATTCTTCGTATAGAAACAGGAACTGAGATTCTGACATTAAAATACAAGTATGAAATGAGTTTTTTCAGATGATTTTTTTAAAAAGTGAAATAATTTGCTTCTTTCAGAGCAAAGTTTTTGATTTTCCATCAAATATTGAGAGCAATATGAAATGGAAATATTAGTCACAAAGGATGGCTTGATATATAAATAAACAGATATGATTTAAACAACTATAAAATTTTGGAAATATTTAACGCATCTTTCAGCATAAAGTCTCTTAATGCCCACAGTGCATTTACAACATTTCCGTGATTTCCTGCTCCATTGGCTAACCAGTGAATGGGAAGACGACTGACATCACTCAGAGTTGTGTTTTCTCTAGTTGCTTTCAATTGGGCATCCCAATTACTGATATGCTTATTTTCTGCTTGTAAACCTTCAATATACCTAAACAAAAAATATAAAATATTTATTCGTTTATTCCAATACTTTCAATATATTCAATTTTCTTATTTAGAAAAATAAAAAATATATTTAATTTGTATTATTATTTCTATCTAATTATTTAACACTGAATTTCTTTGATATGGATAATAAATTTAAATTTCTATTATATTAATATTAATTGCACTATCAGATATTTCAATGCAAATGAAAAATACAGTAGAATTATTATAAACACACATATTGTTATCAGTAATTGATTACTATTAGAATTAGTTTGTTCCAAAACATATAATAAATATATTTTAACTTATATACAGTATTTTAAAATAGTATAAATTAGTAAAGATCCAGAAATTTAGCCTAAATCGTTTTTATTTCATAAAATACACATGATGAGCCACTTTTATGTTTTACTAAAATGTAACTATTAAGTTACTATAACAAGTTCCAGGAGAGAATCATTGAACGAATATATAAAAACTTTCAACTCTGGCTGTTGCTTACAAGCAAAGATCTATTTTGAATATGTGAATTTGAATCATTATGGGACTAGGAACTATGCTGTCAAATTCAACATTTGTTTTTTCTAAACTCTTTTAATCAATATATGATAATCCAATTTTACATTTACTAATTAATATAACTTTAATAAAAAAATAATAATTCTTTTTTTCTGTTTATTTAGACGTTTTCAATTTTTTAAACTGATTAAATGTAATATAAAGACATTTCAAAATAAACATCAATATTTAAATTTTAAGTATTACATGTTCTAAAAGAATAATTTAAAAAAAAATTAATTTAAATTAAATTATTTATAAAAACGCTAGTAGCCCAGGATGCCCCCTAGTGGGCGTTCTTTACAAATTCCCATGAGGCACGGTTCCTTTCACTTTTTTATTCCTATCAATATGCTCTATAGCTCTGTTAAAGTCTCAATCACGTCATACGGATCTAGATTCCTACCTATTAAACATTCTATAAATACTTTAAAATAGTTTAATTTGTTTATTTACCTTCGCTGGTAAACCTCGATTTTAAATCTATCCACCATTTTTTCAACAAATTCCCCGTGAGTCAATGCACAACATTCACTAAAAGTCACGGGATGTTGTAAATGTGCAGCGCAAGGTTAATCAAGGCATATAATAATTATTTATACCATTCCGTGGTATAAATAATAAATTCCTATTACAAATAAAAATAATTTATTGTTAATTTAAAATCATCGCTAGGGCGCCTCTAGTGCCCGTTTTTGGCATACCGTTACACAGACGGAAATGCGTTGAATGGGTTCTATAGATAGATTTTTACCTACTAACTTGTTTCATATTGTCATGGCAACAAAAAGCACAATATAAGTTGAGGAGTTTCAAAACTAAAAATCTATTGTATTGTCATCCAGAAGAATAATTTAACTGAGAAAGAATAAATATTAATTTTTACTAAAATAGTTAAAAAAAATTCATTTTTAAGGTAACTTGCTACTAACATTTTGCTTTTTTGCAATTCTGTTTATTGTAAACGATATTCATTTGAAGAAAATAGGAGTTCATACAAAACTATAAAATGGATTTCAGCCATTTGAAATGATTTATATTGATAAGGATTTGCAGTACACAGTAAAAAGTAAATTTTGTAGAATTCTGCTGTTTAAAAAAACAAAAACTTAGTAAAGTAGAACTTAATGTGGACTGAAGTGACAACATACTGAAAATGATGAGTTTACTGTATAATGATGATGCTAGTCTAAATAGCAAAATTCACATAAAGGTACCACATGTGCAAATTCATATATGTTCTAACCAATAATGAATATTTCTATTTGTAGTTAAATTTTAATTTTAAAAATATACTGACTATACAATGGCTACTTTTGAGTTTGTGAAATTTGCATTGTGGTGTTTTGCAGTGGCACCTTGGAAAAAGGGTTATGCTCTTTGTTAGCACAAGAACTGAGCTATTATCAAGTGTCTTCAGTGAATAACAATAACTTATTTGATCCTAGTGTGAGGCTCTGGACAGGTCCAAACCTCACTGAAATTCGTGTTAAAATCATTTATGTTTAAGGACAAAATTATCTTTTTCTTTTAGAAAAAAAAATAGAAGTTAGAAATAGTTTTTCTTAATGAAAATGATGCAAACTTTTAAACAATAAAACAATGGAAAAACGAAGATCGACTATCTTCGAATGGGAATCAAATTGAACTTCGATTTTGACCTCTTCCATGCCCCCGAAACGTTTCAAATTGTCACCAGATGACGAGAGGAGACCAATCGGAAAGTGAAATTGGAGGAAAATGGATAAAATCTGAGAATTCAAGGACATGATGGCTTCTTCTCCCGAAAGTTCCAAGTGGCAGATCTCCGAAAGTTCCAAGTGTGTGTGTCTCGTGCCCATCTTCATCTCCCGACCTCGGATCGACATCTTTCCATCAACGGAAGTAGACCAATCGTCCCAGAGTCATCAATGGAATTGGTCATTCGCAAACCAGGGACACTCCTTCGAAATGGAACTATCTTGGAAAGGAGAGAGGAAGACCCAGAGGCTGTTGCCAATGTAGAACTTCCAAGATCATGGAAATCTTGTATGCTTCTTTTGTGTCAAATAAATGGTTTCTTGTAACCATAGAGTCTGTCTCAGTGCTGATCGCCCACATACAACCCTTCATGACTGCTCAACCCTCTTGACATTTTTGCACCCTGTCGGAAACCTTATACTAGTGTTATATTATAGAGATCGAAATTATATCACATGTATTATTATTATTATTTTTTTTTTTTTTCCCCTTCTTTGAATGTTAGGATAAATCTTATGGAATATTCAGTTATCAAGAGTTGAGTTTCTGGAGCTCTACTGTACCTACTTAATTTTTTTGAATCTTTTATTCATCTGAATCAAAAATTCAAAACAAAATATATTTTCATGGCCAAGAAATTATCCTTTCCCAGCTATGTTTACAATATGTTATTTTATATTAAAATGATAATTTAGCTTACTTGATATAGGTTGTTGAATGTAATAATCTTTGCGCCCTTGGTGGACTGGAAATAAATATAGGATCTGGAGTTCGATGCCATGTTCCAATACCTTCAAAATCAAGAAATTAGTTTAAATTAATAAAATCTGAGATGATCATTATATATCAGTATTTGAAAAACACACATAATATGACACTGAAATAATTATGATTTCTTTTTATATTTTAATATAATCCTACCTTTAGGATTATTATACAAAAAAGCAGTTCTAGCAGTATTAGATGCAACAGTAAAGAGGAAAGGTACATGGGAAAGTGTAGGATAAGGCAATGTGGGAGCAGGATTTGGGATATGAAAAATATTTGGAGAAGAAATGCAATAGCCTATATTAAAAATGCATTAAAATAATATATATATTTTTGGTAAGCAACACACAATATTCACAGAGAATAATTTCAACTAATATATTTAAAGCCATCAAAAATATCATTTTTCTTTAAATATTAAAACTTAAAATCTCAACACAATCAAATACAGTTTATTTCTGTACATATCTTACCTTGAGATACATAAGGTAAAGTCATTCCAGTGTTTGATTGGGTAACGTGAGTATTATAAGGTATTCCAGGATGATAATTTGAAGGATGACCAGGAAACATGCCTGGTGCATAAGCAGGTATATCTGCAAAAACATGCAACAGGGAACAAACCATGCAAAAAGTAAATGAAAAGAATGCATATCACATGCCAAAATGTGTTAGTAATTTAAAAATAATATGCACACATATGTATGTATATTATTTTACTTGCATTTATTTTTGAAATAAAAAATGAATAATAAAAACAATCTAAAAATGTAAAATAAAAATGAACAACTTATTTTAAATAAACATGCTGAATATTAGCTATATTCTTACTTGAATTAGGTCCTGAGGTACCAGGAGAAGAGCGACGTGAAGGTACAAAATTCCTATTATGAAAAAGAATTTATTAGATCTTTACATTCCATTATTAAATAATTTAAATAAAATTTTAAAAACACACAACACACACACATATATATATATATATATATATATATACAGCGGCGGCCTTATCCATTGCGAGGCTCTGGGCGGCAGATCTTTGCGAGGCCCTGGGCAGCAGATCTTTGCGAGGCCCTTGTCCTTTGTGCAAAGTATGTGAATTGAAATAGTAGGCACTTATTAATATTAATATATACTGTACTATAAATTAAATTTATTTTATTGTTATAACTAATAGCCAAGGATAAAATAAAAAGTTTTAAATATCAACTTTTTTCTACTTGGTTGTTGCACGAGGCCTCTCCAAGAGAGAGGCCCCGGGCGATTGCCCTGCTCGCCACCCCCTAAGGCCGCCACTGTATATATATAAGACATAAAATCATTGATATCTGACCTGTATGTCAAGCTTATCCTTTAAAATCCAGAAATATACATGCTTTAACACTAATAAATTATTATCAAAACCAACAGTTTTAAACAACAATTGATATGTCATTTTAATTGCTCACACTCAAAAATTCCTTCCCCATTTCCCCAAAATGTAGTAAATTTGGTGTTAATCCAAATTTGCAACATTTTGAGGAAATGTGGTGTGAATTGAGTTTTCTGCTCTAGACTATCAATATATAAAATATATACATATGCAGTAAACCTCTGCTAACTTGGACAAATGTTTTTGAAATGGTAATTTAAAATTCTTAACAATAGAAAAATTCTGGATATCAAAAACATTTGTTTTTGATTCCAGAACAGAAATGATAATAGAAGAATTCTCTTTTCTATTACCATTTCTAGTACCATGCATTATATTACTGTAGTCAATAAGTTACTAAAAACTGTATATTGCTGTTTACTGTACTCTTATAAAATTTTTAAAGCCTATTTTTAGTAATAATAAATTCAGCAGTAAAATTGTAGCTCATTAAAAAGTTCTGTTTACAGCTGACTGTAATAAGTTACTTTACTGTATATTCAGGTTCTCATTTACCATGCCATCAAAGAAAACTTGCCACTAATTCTGATACAACCTTCACTCTAATTAGTCTGAGTTAGCATGGTGTTTACTATATAAACACAATTTATGAATTGTAAGTAGTATAGATTTGATTTGTTGTTATTTTCTGTTCATTATCGCAATATGCTTAATGTGGATTAAAAACCAGGTATATTTAATTATACATTGAATTTTACATGGTCATTCCTTTCCTATTCAGTATTTACAGGGTTCCTACTCAAATTTTTGTTTTGAATTCCCTGACTTTCCCTGACCAACTTTGTCCAAATTCCCTGACCCTCACATTTTTTAGTGTGGAATATCGACATAATAAAACAGCATTTACTGTTAACATTGAGTACATTTAGCCCTCTTTTTGCACAGTTGATATGCTTCAAAGACTGCCACATTAAAAAAATACAGTACATACATCCTGTAGAAAAATGTTTGATAGAATCCACAACTTCAATGTAATGAAAAAATAAGCAATTTACAAACAAAACACAAGCTTTTTATTTTATCATCATTTATCATTATTATTTGTATGTAAATCTAGTAAATACAAGGTAACATAAAATCAACAAAAATTATTCTTTGATAAACAAATAGTACTGTACTGTGCTTAAAATGAACTCTTGACTTAGAAACACATAATTTTAAAATCAATCTTTCAACAAAAAGAGTAACTTTTTTTTAACCTTTTTACATTACCATCTGTTGCATATCTTAAAAACAGTTATTGCAAATATAATGTTTAAACATGCATTATTATATGGATAGGATAGATAGGGTGTGACCCATATCCTATTTCTGAGATCAAAGAATGTTTTGATGAGAAGAAATAAAACTCATATTTAATCACTGAGCCTTCTACTGCCCCCATGAAAGCCTCCAGTGCCCGCAAAGGGGCGTTATCACCCACTTTGAGAAAGGATGATCTAGACCAGTGTTTCTCAACCCAAAACTCATCGCAGACCGGAAAATATCTGCTTTTTTTAAGTGGACCAGTGACAATATTATTTTTAATTGAAAAAAATTCTCTGTTGTAAAAAGAACTGCAAACTACATTGAGCAATAAATATTTGTTATTTTATTTACCAGTACATTAGTATACAAATCAATGTGATCGCTGCTTTTCTTTTTTGCTAGTAAGATCATCAATTCTTGGAGTTAAGGCGGTAACTGCAAGGCGTGAGGCAGAACTAATACTATAATGATTTTGTTGTTTCAATTTTATCATTACCATTGCTGAAAACATTGATTCACATAAGTACGTTGTTGAAAAAGGTAGTAACATCCTAACTGCCTTTTTATGTAAAACTGGATATTCAGATTTAACTTTAATCCAAAACTGTGTTATGGGCATTGATTCAAACAATGTTTTAAATCCCAAGTCTGAACTTAATTTGATTAGTTTTTCGTATTCAAAGTCGTTCAATCTATTAGTTTGCTATCAATAAACGGATTAATAATCCACATATTTCCTATTTGAGAACAACGCATGGAAGGTACAGTATATATTTTTAAAGTTTTCGCGGACTGGTCAGATTAGAGTTGCGGACCGGCGGTTGAGAAACACGGGTCTAGACTATTTCTCAAGTTTCTATAAAAAATTTCTGTTCATTCCTTTTTTTCTCTAATAATTAAATTATTTTACGTTTTTCTATTTTAGTTCCGGACAATTCCGGAACCTCACACTTGTATTCCTATGAAGTCATAGTATTACGAAAATTGGGATTCTTAAAACTTATAAAATAAAATAAATACAGAAATAAACAACAAACGAAATTACAATTATACGTTATTAAAATATAGAAGTTCAGCGCAGAGAATCGTAACTACAAATCTCTTTCTTTTGCAACATAACTATAAAAATTGTTTTGGTGTTGTTTCGCACAAAAAATAATCAAATTTATTTTAATTTTTTAGTAATGTAATTATTTTTTTTTAAATTTACAGCTTTTTAATTTTTAAATTTTAATTATAAGCAAGTTAACATTGGTTAAACTATCGGATTACCTGTTGATTTTCGAAAATATAACTACAGAATATTTATTACAAGCATGATCAATCTTGCCAGTTTTTAAGCCCTAAATTTGCCAAAATCAGTGATATTTGTTACCCAATATCATTTCAGTTAACTAATTATTAAACTATGTATCGAAGTTGCGGAAAAAAACGGAAGAGAGAGGGAAAATATGCTTGCAGTACAGTACATTCAAGGAAAATCGTAACAACAAATATAAAAAGCTTGTGCCAACAACAAGTCAGCGCCAGTATTTTACTGTAAACGTCGGGTAACTATTTATAATTTTTTATGTTTTAAACTGAAAAACGATTAAATTACAGATTTTTACTGATCTGTTTAGCTATTTTGAAGTGAACATTCTAATAAATTACGATTTCAACTTTTAAAAGTTTGCAAACAAATTTTTAATTAGTTATTTTTTATTCTAATAAACAATTTCATTTTTTTATAATCGCTGAATTACTAAAATTAAAAATTAAACACTATTACATAAAAGTAGTTTATCCTGTTATTAATTAACTCCCTTGCTACTCACTAATTTTTAATATTAATGTAATTAAACATAAAAAATATTTAAAACTGGGGAAAAAACGAAAGAAATGCGTTAATTTTGAAGAAAAAGCTTCAAACTTTATTTTCCATTGTCTCGCCTTTCTGTGAAATCTGACACCGATGAGTCATTGTGTTTACAGCTGGATGACCTGGAGAACAGCTGGTGTTGGGATTTCCCGGGACATTCTCATAGAAGTCTCGGGAGGAGAAGGGTTTAAAGTAGAGTGAATACTAGCTGGCTGTATATTTTTAAATATTTTTCAAAAATTACGTTTTTTTATTGCGATTTCCGACCCCCCGACTTAATTAAACGTATATATAATAAAATATATTAATTTAAAAAAATTAAAAAACTATTGGAGGTCGTTTTTGACATCAGAAACTAGCTTTAAATAACTTTATCGAAGTAAAATCCGTGCACTACTACTTTAGAACGATGAATGAAATTTGATAAAAAAACTCCCATTAAAAAACAATTAAGAGTTAATCGTGCGTCATTAAAGGTATATTAAAATCGCGATAAAATATTTTCGCGCGGGAAAAAATTTTTGAAAAAATTTGGAGACTTAAAAAACATCCAAAAAAAACAAAAATTTTTTCGGAGGGCCCAAATGCCCGAGTTTTATATAACGCTATGGAACTTTCCCGAGTTATCTCGGGTTTTAAAGATTGCAGCATTACTTCTTGCCGCCTGCGTATGGCTATGATTGGTCATCTATATTCAGCAAACCAAATCAACAACGCAGTTAAGGAGACAAATTCCCTGACTTTTTGACAATTTTCGACAAATTCCCTGACTTTTTGACAATTTTTGACAAATTCCCTGACTTTCCCTGACTTTTTCAAAAAATAATGAAAATCCCTGACTTTCCAGGTGCGTAGGAACCCTGTATTTAAAATAATAACTGAACTGATTAATATAGTAAATTTATACTAAATTTTATTACCAAGTTATTTTCACAATCCTTTCTTAAATCCAATCCTGACTAAATTTGCTTAAGAATATACTTTAAATTAAAAACAAAATTTGAGTTATTCATTGATCAAATACAAATAAACTTTTTTAATTGTTAATAAATAGTAAATAGATAAGAACATAAAAGAATGTAGAAGCTATATATGTACACAATACTGATTCTGCCAAAAATTTTGAGATGAGAAATACAATTATATTTAAAGTAAGTTCTATAATTAAAATAGTTTTAATAATATCAGGAATGAAAATAAACTCTAGTTTGTTTACTCAATTTCATAAAAGGAAAGTAGGTAGATAAAAAGTAAGGTAAATGCTATTAAATAACAAAACAATATCTTCAAATTTGCCAATATAATAAACAACCTTTGTCAAGTAAAACAACTTTCCAGGAAAATTTAATAGATAAAGATTTACATGGCAAAGAAGTATTTTGGCTATAATATTATCACAATATATAATTCAAGAGGATGTTAAAACTCAGGAAATGCTGAATAAAACCATTCTTAATAAATAATAATATATGTTCTTGATTATCAGACCAAAATTCAGAATTAAATGTAATACTGAAGCCATTTACAAATATATTTAAGAAACTGAAGCTCATCAAATGGAAATGAATGATAAAATAATTAAATTAAAAAAAGGAGAATTTACACTAAAACTTAAATTTTTTCAATCTAATTTTTGTGTGTCATAAAGATAATAGATATATTGTATACGTATTTAATTTTTGATTTTTCTTGTAAAATACTTTTATAATTACATCTAATATGTATTTTGACAGATTTATATTGGATTCCTTGCTTTGTAGTTTATTTTCATATATGAATTTTATGAATTTTTACAATACTATGAAATATCCATTATATGTAATTTAGCAAATTTTATAAGTTATAAAAAAAATCATTAAAATTTTTCTTATTTAATATCAAACAAATTTTTGTCAAATAAAAAAAAAAACAACAAATTTACATTAAATGCATCTGAAGATTTTATTTAATGATTTTAATCTTATATTCTACAAAATTATTATATTTTAAATGAAATAACAATCAAATATTCATAAAAATTTTAAATATAAAAGCTAGAGTAAAAAAAAAAAAAAAACAGCCATTATTTGAAAATTTTTTGCTTATTCATATACTTATAATTTCAAAAATTTACCTGCTCCTGTTATCAGGAAGAATACATTTAGCAGCAGCTTTTAAATGAACCTCTTTGCAATGCCTGACTAGTCTCTGCATATTAGGAAATGGTCTAAACATGCATTTAGTAAGGTAATAAATTAATATAATTCTTTTTTCTGTAAATTTTAATTAAATTTATATAAAAATATAATGATGTGAATTAACTTACGGAACATTCTTTTTAATACGGGTACAGTTTTGCCATAAACATTGGAATTCATTTTCTGGTTTTAACAGAAATAAAAATACAAATATATACAGTTTAATAGATATTAATAATTCATATTGTAGTAATTGTAATCATAATAATACCTTTTGCATTTTGATATGATATATGGACATGACCATTTGGCTCGGTGATAAGATGATCAATGAGATCTTGATGATCTTCAAATTGATAATCACACCCTTCCCATTGACATTCATACACCATATTTTCTCCTTTTTCTGGATTTCCACCTTTTCCACTGTCACCATGGGCAGAAGCTGGGGAATGTGGCAAACTATCAAATCCTTCTTTGGCAGCATTTTCTTCATTCTGTTTTTGTGCTCTATCTTCATATTCAGCTTTTTGGGCAGCAGGAAGATTTCGCCACTATATAAAACAATATTAACAGTAAAAAATAGGTGAAATTTCACTAAAAAATTTTCAAATAAATATCTTTTAAAATATAAAATAATTAAATTAAAAATACTTATAATAAATAATATTACTGATTTATTTTTGAGGTAAACTGAAAAAGTTTAATTGAAAATTAGACAAATTTCTAAGTGGCTAGATGATATAAAAACAGAAAAATCAAGTAAGCAATAACTAACAAATCAATATATAATGATCTACCATGAGCATTTGTATCATCTGACAGATGATAATACTATTTTATTTAACTAAAACATGATAAATGGAGCAAAAGAAGTTATAAAAAAAAATCTCAAAATTTCCAATATTATTAATTTTAGTCGAAATTTACTTGAATTTTTATGAGTTGGCCTGCAATGTATATAGATCACTTAATAAAGTATAAATAATAAAATAATATAGAAAGAAACTGGGACAGAATTAAATTAAATATCAATATTATTTAACTAAATCTAATATTCTATTATACTAAATCAATGTAAAAATTAAAAAATTATTAGAAAAATCTACATGCTCAATAATGCATAATCAACATAATTAAATTTATTTGATGTACAGTACATTTAAGCCTTTAGCATTTTAGACTTTGAGAAAATAGAATACAGAATTGAAAAAAACAAATTTAAAAACATTGAAACATTTTATTTTATTTTCAAATTATAAAATATGTACTTTTTAAATATCAACATCCAAACAACACCAGGGGAAGTCAACAACATACCTTCAACATGTTACCAGTGTGAGTTGCAAGAAGGATAAAGTACATCACAAATGTTTTCGAACCATTTTTTGTGTTCCATCAGATATTCTGTGTATCAACTGAAGAACTTTAAATGATTCGAAAATGTTTGTGATGTACTTTAGCCTTCTTGCAACTCACACTGGTAACAGGTTCAAGGTACATTGTTTACTTTTTAAATTATTAATTTTTAAACTATAAAATTAATTTTCATAATCAATTATATGAATAATTTGTGGTAAAATAATTTAAAATCTACTGAAATAATACATATATATTCCATATATCCTGTTTAAGCCCTTATGTGGAGGAAATAACTTTAATAAACCAAGCTATCTTCACAATTAGCTGTTAAGATTCAGGATACATAATAAAAGATATTTTGTTTATTTCATGAGTTTATTTTAATTTTATTTGTATAATTGCACAATATTTATAAATTGAAAATTATATTTATTAATTTATAAAGTCTGTATTCTATTTGGTAAAAGCTTTACAAGAATAAATATCTAAAATCTTTTATAAATTCATATACATGAATTTACTGTGAAGTTAATATATATTATTAAGAATAATTTTGCTAAAGATAATTTTTGATAATTTATCCTTTTAATTTTTCTTAATATATATATATTAACATGTGAAAAATATTCCATGCTTGACTTAATATTATCTAGAAATGTAATAATGAAAACTTACTTCGGTTCCAATCATGCGGCTTATTTCTCCAAATGAACGATCTGGATTTGCCGCAACAACAGATTTTCTTACTTCACTAGCAAAAAGAATATAACCAGTAACTAGTCTCTTCATTGTTTTCTGGAAAAGAAGAAAATAATAATAATAACAATACTCTTGTTGTCAATTACTTTAATTTATATTATTTATTAACATAAAATTCAATCTAATAATCACATAAACATTTTTCTTTTTTTTTCCTATTGCCACAGCAGGAAATACAAACCTTAGTACAAGCTATTTTAAGAATACATTATCTATATTTTGTTTATCTGACTAATGAATGGTCTATCTAACTACCTACAGGACCAAATTGATTGTTTTTGTTGTATAAAGTCATTACAAATTTAATACCTTCTTAGAGGATGAAGGAGTAGCAAAAACTTGTTCATCCTTTGGGGTGCAGGAAGGAGGTTGATCATTAGAATCTTCATTGTCAGTCTCACTGTTCATCTTTGGCATTAGTGGTGACAGTTCCTATGTGATTAGAAATTAATGGATGGTTTCATCATTTCTCTTTGATAATATATTAAATTGTTTGCCACAACAAATTGATGCTACTTTCATCCTAAATTCAATAATGTATTGTATGTGTTTGGTGAATTTGCTTTCTAATTATAACAATTAATGGAATGGGTTTTCTAGTGTATTCATTTATTTGTATACATATTTCCTATTAATTTTGACAATTATGCATTAAATAATAATTTTAATCATTATGATTATGCCCATCTTGGATAACTGATAATTTCACATCCAAGAAAAATTATCATCATCTTAAAAATAGATCTTAAAATTCTGTGAAATTATATACATCTTTTCAATAATATAATTGAAATGGATGTATCCAGCTATCACTTCAGGACAACATGAAAGCAATTTTTAGATGAAACTATCACATGCATTTACAAAGCAAAATGAAAAATATAAGCAAACTAAAATTATAGAAAAAAGAAAACCAGTATTTAGTTGCAATATTTTCAAGAAATTAAAGTAAAATACGTTTAAAATTAAAGCAATACATTTAAATTATATATTATATAAAAATTATTAGGATAGAAGACAACAGAATATTTCTTTTAATTTATATTGTAATTATCATGAAAGTCATTTCATACAAAGATACATAAAATAAAGAGAAAGAGTAAAAATTATTCATAAGAATAAACTTATTTTAAACAATGTTAAAAAAAATTCTATTATGAACTTTTATTTTTTATTCATAATCATAAAAATATTTTGAATTTTTGGGTAGTATCAATTTCTGATGGTTTAATAAAGACAAATCAATAATTAAAAAATATTTCAACAAATATTATTATTATTATATAGTTTAGAAATTTATAAAATAAAAAAATAACATAATATATAATAATAATACATACAAAAATAAGTTGCCTTAAAAGCCAATGAAGTTTAATGCAGGCCAACATTTCAGTTAATATAAAACTGCCTCCAAAAAAGAGCAGAAACAACAGAAAGAATAAACAGCATTCAAAATATTTTTAAAATTCCAAAAAATAACAATAAAAAAATTAAAATAAGTATTCTGTAAATTCAATACATCAGAGATGATTCCTATCAAAATAATTTATCATTCTAGTTTTTTGTGTAGTATTTAACAAGATACAAATATCAGTACTTCTCTATTGCATATTATTTTTCATTTATAATTACATTTATATTATTATTTTTAAATCTTTATATTTATTCTTTATCACTTGTTTCATTATTCCTACAAATTCTTTTGATTATTTCTACTCTTACTCAAAGAAAGTTATGTATTAACTGAAAACAACTGTTTATATTAATCCTGTTTCAAATGGAAAAATTATTTAACTAACTTGATGTTATGCAATAAAATATTTTGAAAGTTTTATGTATAGATAGATTATTTGTTAAAATTAATTTTCTAATGAAAAATTTTAAAAGTATTTTAAGTACTTTAGTCCATATATATACAATTTATTGTAACACGACATGGATAATTTAAGCTATTAGAAACCTAGTTACCTAGTTATGGTAACACAGCAACAGCTAGAAATAGCAACAGATTAAAAATTATGGATATGAAAACAATTTAGATTCAAACTGAATTTTCTACTAAGTATTCTAATTGAAAAATATCTATATTCTGTACTCAATCATCCAAAAAAATTTAATATAATACATGACGTAACTTGACAAGAAAATATGAAAACAACATTTTATAGTAAACAAACCAACCATTATATGCATTAATAATATGATATAAATGTATTTTGTTGGCAATTATATTAATATATAATTATATTTATGAAACTTTATTAAATTTTATATTATAAAAATTATTTTTTAGTTCTTTATCATTTAAAAAAATATTTTAAATCATCATTGCCAATTTAAAAGACTTTAGAAACCATAACATTTAAATTAAATACTTTTTTCTAATTCAAGTCTTAAAATACTTTAAGCAGGATACCCTGGATATTAAACTTCATTTACTTTTAAGGCAAATTCTATTATTATTTTTATATTTATTAACTTCATGCAAGTTTATTTTGCTAAATAATAATACATAAAAGAAAATCTATATTCATAAATCAGCTAAATTAAAAATATAGTTACTTAAAAATTAAAAGCAACACAATAAAATTATATAATTTTTATAATGGAAGTTATTTTTATGAATATTTAAATCCTGTTGATAAAAAAAAATTATTTGAATTTTATGTGAACAATAAAATAAAATAATAACTAATGTACTTTTAGGATTAGATATAACAGTAATTTAAAATTTACTATAAAATAACATAGGTTACAGAAAAAAATATGTTAAAAATTGAATTCCAAAGAAGAAAAAAATTATGAAAAATTTTAATGCAAGTAATGGTTTCAAAATCTCAGGAGATTCATCTTTAATTCTAAAAAAAATTTTTAAATAATATATTTTAATAATGATACTATCATTCCAAGTTTTAAAGTTTTTGGTATAAATAAAAAAATGTTTATTATAAAATGATATGTTAAATATTTAAGGCTTCAAGATTTTTTACCTGCATTAGAAATTTTATGACTGCTATAAACTTCTGTTTTTTTCTTGATGGTTTCAAATAGACGATACAGCAAATAATCAACATTTTTATCCTCGGGGATTTTAATATCATATATTCACTTTTGTGTAATGTAGTTTGAAAATGTTAGTGTTTTTCTCAAATGACTAATCATTTATTAGAATATTGTAATATATTGTAATCTAATTATCCATTTGAGAAAATGTAAAATATAATTATGTATAAAGCCAACCCCATCATGTAATAATCAAATGATAATGCTGGATTTTTGAGTTATAATATGGCTAATTAATTACAAATATATGACATAATTTGGACTAAAAATAGGCAGTTAAGACACCATCTTGTATTCAATTTGATAATTAGAAGTTAATTAATTTAGAATGTTGTTGAAAAAGAAATCTGGAGTAGAATTCAAGCTCTCAACTTTTGTTTACTGTGCAAATGCATCGCCAATTATGATATTTGAACCTCATCCAATCTTTGCCTTAAGATCAATCAATTTGTAAGGTACAGTACAGTATAATCATACAAGTAATTCATCACACTGACTGTGGAGCACTATGTGCCTATGCTCTGTAGCATTCAACCAACGTAAGTTTTACCCTGAATGGTATATAATACGCTACAGTTAAAGCCCAAGGACTAAAGATGGAGAGTGTCTGGCAATGCCTATACACAGTAAACAGAAGTTACAGGTTTGAGTCCCACTCTGGAATGATCTTTTCTTCCAGAATATTTTAACTTTACTTCTAATTATTAAATTTAATACAAATGACAGCTTACACACCTACCTTTAGTCTAAATTATTTAATATCTTTATAATTAATTAGCCATATTATACCCTATATAAAAATCCAGTGGTATCATCTGATTATTAATGTAAAATGTTTTACACACATTATACATAGGTAAAGATTCTATGTATTTCTGAAAAATAACAACCCATAATGTTTCTATGAATTAATTAAAGATAACAGACAGCTTTCTAATTTACAAATTTATTTATTTCTCTTCAAAAAGTATATCTTATAATGATCACAATTCTTACTTCATACTGAAATAATTAAAATTATTCTAACATGAATTAAATTATGACTGGTCAAAATATGTTTCTCCTGAAAATATCGGGAAAATTTATTATTTTAATTACTTTTGAAAAAAATGGCAATTTCAATAAATACTAATTGAATGTTTTTTTTCCCTTCATCTAAAACCTCTTTTAATAAGCTTTATCCAAAGAGACTTTAGATAAAAGATATTCAAATATAATGAAATAAAATTTCAATAGTTATATCCTCTTCTAGATGTATGCAAATAAAAATGATAGAAAAGTTGATGATTTACAATGAAATTCTCTAAATTACATGAATGTTTATTTCACAATAGTTACTCAAAATCCATTAACGTATAAAATTTTTTGAAATGACATATTAACAAAATGTAACATTTTATGATCAAAGCAACATTCTTCAAATATTGTTGAAACATTCTATATGTTCTATGAAACTTGAGAGTTATTTTCATTTCATAATAATGATAAAAATCATAAATGAAATTTCCTTTGCATAGCATAAACTATGCAATTTTTTCTCAAATTCTCATAAAAATATCATTTCATAATTTAAAGTAAAATTTACTCATACCTTTCTATTAAAATAAATTACATACTGTAATTTATTTTTGGTGAGGATTATTCATGCTGTTGAAATAAAACTAGAAAGATTAAAGATTAAAATGATAAAAATATATGATAATTTAATAAAAATTCTTTTGATTTATGAAATGTTCAAATAAATTTGCAGTAAATATTGATATCTTGCTATGTTGTTTGACATACAGTATGTGTATTTCAAGGATGAAGGAAAAACAAAGAATGTCACATTTTCTTAAAATATTAAGATACAACATTTTATATGAACTTAATATTCATAATATGAGTGGTGGGTGGAACCTAGAATGGTCCAATTATTAAGTGAATTTAAAATTTCAGTGAAAGGTTAAAAACAATGAAAGTCCATGCAGCATAGTATGAAAACAGGAAAAATCTATTTTAATATGACAAATATAGGGCTGTTAGATAGACCTTGATCCTGTTTTGTTTTGTTGACATGAAGAGAAAAGTCTTTGTAAAGTTTATATAACTTCAATGTGAGATAAATCATTCATATTAATATTAAAATATAACTACAAGAATTATTCTTAAAAACTGTTCACTGAGGTATAAAAAACAGGCGTAAAAGTGTTACTATATAAATCTTTTGTATTCATAATTTTTAATAGAAAATAACCATGGGTGTCCATTTTATATGAATTTTCAGTTATCTAAGGTAGCATTAGTCCACATTACCTTGGATAAATTGGGGTTCTACTGGAATAAATAAATTATAAACAATATTTTCTAAAAGTGATGTGAGTGAAAAA